GTGTATTAAATTAAACATTTTTAACTGTCAGTGTTGTGGACTTATTTGTATAGACTACTTATCTCGCTAAATTGGTGACCCCGAGCTGAATACGTATTTAATACTGTAATGGCTAAACAACGCGAGCACAGCGGTGAGCACATGTCTGTCGGGCCTTTCGACATTTGCAAAGTTGGGGTTCGTGTTCCGCAATTTTGGCCGGAAGAACCGGAGATTTGGTTTGCTCAGGTAGAAGGACAATTTGCAATTTCTGGTATAACTAATGATTCTACTAAATTCAATTATGTTATTGGTCAATTAGAACATCAGGTATCTAAGGAAATAAAAGACATTATAGTGAACCCTCCTGCCAGTGATAAATACGAGAAGCTTAAATCAGAGCTTATTAAAAGACTAAGTGCATCTCATGAGAGGAAGGTTAAGCAATTGCTCATGCATGAAGAGCTCGGTGACAGAAAACCGTCACAATTTCTGCGGCACCTGCAAAGTCTAGCGGGTCCTAACGTTCCGGATGAGTTCGTGAGGACAATTTGGACGAGTAGACTGCCAGCAAACATCCAGACAGTTCTGGCAGCACAACCGACCGCCTCGCTCGAGATATTAGCAGATTTAGCGGACAGAATCCAGGACATAGCTATATCGTTGCCTCAAGTAGCTACCACCAGTTACTGTGAACCTACAACTCCTGGGTCCACGATGGATTCGATGGCCAAAAAATTGCAGAATTAAGAAAGCAAGTGGAAAACCTAACGACAAGCCTTCATCGGAGATCTCGCTCTCGTACGAAATATCATGAGCGTCGCAGACGTTCATTATCGACCCGATCAGCATCTTCCTATCGAAGGCATCCTAAATGTTGGTTCCATGCAAAATTTGGTGTCAACGCCAAAAGGTGTGTTCACCCATGTGATTTCCAGGCGGAAAACATGAAGGGCAGTCGTTAATGGCGACTGATGATTGCCCAAGTTCTACTGGTCGTCTCTTTGTCACTGACCGAAGATCGAAAGTGCAGTTCCTGGTCGACACGGGTAGCGACCTCTGTGTTTTCCCTCGTGCATGGCTTCCTGAGCGACGTACGAAGACCACCTACGAACTCTGCGCAGCCAACGGGAGTGTCATCAACACGTATGGTTATGTACACCTTACTCTTGATCTTGGCCTTCGTAGAGACTTTAAATGGCGTTTTGTAGTTGCCGATATAACAAAAGCTATTATTGGTGTTGACTTTCTTTCTTTTTATAATTTAATTATAGATTGTCGTAATCACCCCCTTGTAGATAATACCACAAATGTTTCTGTCAATGCTCTGTATGTTAAAAATTTATATGCTGTTTCGTCCATTAAGGTTGCGACTGGTGACACGAGGTACCATAATATTCTAGCCAATTTTCCAGAAATAACACGTCCGGCTGGGACGCAACGTAACATTCCACATAACACCGTACATCACATTCGCACTACACCAGGTCCTCCTATTTCATGCTCCCCCAGGCGTCTTGCCCCTGATAAATTAAAAATCGCGAAACAGGAATTCGAGTCAATGCTTGCTAGCGGTATCGTCAGACCATCAGAGAGTTCATGGGCCTCTCCCTTACATTTGGTTCCCAAAATAGAGAATGGCTGGCGACCCTGTGGCGATTACAGGTTGCTTAATGCTAGGACAATTCCTGATAGATATCCGATAAGGCACATCCATGACTTCACTCACAGCATCGCTGGATGTAACATATTTACTACCTTAGATCTTGTTAAAGCCTATAATCAAATACCTGTCAGCGAATTAGATATACCGAAAACCGCGAATTACCACACCATTTGGTTTATACGAATTTAAGTATATGAATTACGGTTTGCGTAATGGAAGTCAAACCTTCCAAAGGTTCGTGGATGAGGTCACGCGTGGTTTAGATTTTTGTTACTGTTACCTAGATGACTTTTTAATATTTTCGAGGAGCGAGTCAGAGCACGAGGAGCATTTACGCCAGATATTTAACCGACTGAAGGAGTACGGGATGTTGATCGAATCGATCGAACACCTCGAAATGTGTTTTCGGTGCGTCTGAAGTAACATTTTTGGGTTATAAAATTTCCGCCAATGGTATTAAGCCTCTCCAGGAGAAAGTTCAGGCGATTAAGGACTTTCCTTCGCCCAAAAACGTTCGACAGTTCAGAAGATTTCTGGGCATGATAAATTTCTACCGGCGATTTTTTCCTAATGCTGCGCGCATTCAAGCTCCCTTAAATGCATTACTTGCAGGAGCCACAAAAGGTTCACAACCAATTAATTTAACAGGAGACGATAGTAAAGCTTTTAACGATTGTAAGCTAAGCCTATCTGAAGCAGCTTTACTAGCTCACCCTGACACACATTCCAAGCTTGCTCTTGTTACTGATGCCTCAGATATAGCTTTGGGTGCGGTATTGCAGCAGTATAAAGACGGCACATGGCAACCGCTTGCGTTTTTCTCACGCAAAATGAGTTCTGCGCAGCAAAAATATTCGCCATATGATAGAGAGCTTCTCGCTATCTATGAGGCCATTAAGTATTTTCGGCATTTGTTAGAGGCGAGACATTTTATTGTCTATACTGACCACAAGCCAATCAGTTTTACTTTTCGCGAGAGGAAAGGCAACTGTTCGCCTAGGCAGTATAGACATCTAGACTACATTTCGCAGTTCACAAGCGACATAAGGCATATATCTGGTAAAGACAATGTTGTTGCCGATGCCTTATCTCGAGTTGAGGAACTGCAAGCGCCCGTCAATCTCAGTACATTGGCCGAAGCTCAAGCATCAGATCTCGAACTGGCTGAACTTCTCAAAGGTGGATCATCCCTTCGGTTAGAGAAGTATGACATTCCTGGGAGTAGAACATGTATGCACTGCGATGTCAGTACACTGACTCCCAGACCATTTGTCCCTAAAGTACTAAGCAAACAAGTTTTCGAAAGTCTGCATTCTTTGAGCCATCCAGGCGCGAACGCTACAGCAAAACTAGTTGCAGAGCGTTTTGTGTGGCCTAGCATCAGGAAAGACTGCAGAGAGTGGTCACGTGCCTGCTTGGCTTGCCAACGTACCAAGGTGACGCGACACGTATCTGCGCCTTTAGGCACGTATAACTTACCGCGTGCAAGGTTCAAGCACGTCCACATCGATCTTGTGGGGCCTCTGCCACCATCGCAAGGCTTTCGATACTGCCTCACTGCAGTTGATCGCTTTACACGATGGCCAGAGGTCGTACCGATCGTAGACATAACTGCGGAAATCGTTGCCAAAGCCATACTGTCCGGATGGATAGCCAGGTATGGCTGTCCTGTAGACATTGTTACAGATCGCGGTCGACAGTTCGAATCCGCGTTGTTTCAACATTTGTCGAAGATAAATGGGTTCCAGCATAAAAGAACAACAGCTTACCATCCGGCATGCAACGGTTTAATAGAGCGTTTCCACAGGCAGCTCAAGGCAGCGATCATGTGCCATGCAGATGAGCATTGGACTGAATCTTTACCTTTAGTTCTCCTTGGCATTCGTAGTGCATATAAGGAAGACTTGCAGTCTTCGTCTGCCGAACTCGTGTATGGAGAACCACTTAGGCTACCTGGTGAATTTTTTGACACCACCATAAATGTTACGTCGGATATAACCGATTTTACAGCCAGGTTGCATAATTTTGTTAAACATTTGCAACCTGTCCCAGCTTCACGCCACACAAAAGAAAAAACTTTTGTATACAAGGATCTCGCAACTACTGAACACGTCTTCTTAAGAGAAGACGCTTCGCGTACGAGTTTGCAACCTGCGTACTCAGGTCCACACAAGGTACTCTCCAGAGGAGATAAGGTTTTTAAGCTCCTGGTCAAAGGAAAAGAGATGAATGTCTCAATCGACAGACTTAAACCGGCTTATATTTTAGCTGACGGTAGCAGTTTCAGTCCAATACAGGCCGCTTCCTCAGAGAATATTAAAGGTTCCCATCTGGGTCCAATTACAAGGTCTGGACGCCGTGTTAGATTCCCGGACTATTATCGACCATAAGATGGCCTTTGGGGGGGAGTGAATGTAGGCTACTTTCCTACATTATATACACACGCATATAACTACACAGATACATACGCACATATTTCTCACACTCAACATAATATATATACTTTTACACGCCACTATATACTCTCAACAAAAATGCACGTAGCAACAGCCGGGCGTTGAACGCGCTGCCCGGAATCCCGTTAGCACAGCTGTTTAAAAACAATCGCCTGCGTCCGCGCACCGCGTTCACCAGTCGATCTACCGATACGACGCGACGCATGTTGCTCGCTAGCGCAAATCCTTTGTTCTCGCCATAGACTTTTAAATATTACAGTGAATATTGATTGTGCTTTTTCTAGACTATAGTTTTATTATTAACGCTTTATCTTGGCTTGTGTATCTTCTGCTTGTTTGTGCTAAATTGTATATCTCCTGCTTGTGTATTAAATTAAACATTTTTAACTGTCAGTGTTGTGGACTTATTTGTAGTCTATCTACTTATCTCGCTAAAATATATAAAATAAGAATATAAGGGGACCTTGCTCCCAAGTTGTCGAGCAAGTAGATGAGTATGTGTATTTGAGATGTGTATTTAGCAGGGATCGTAGGTATGAGAACGACGAGTGAACGCAGGAAATAGAGTAAATTGACCTCTACACTATTGCTGTGTTGCAGAGGTGAACGGCAAAGTTGAGAAGGGACGCCCTAGGCGAAATTTAATCAAACAAATTGGCCCTGGAATGAAGCTCAGCAGAGAAGATTCATGGGTTGATGAATAATATGAAGAATAAGACAAACCTGAATTAATTTTTACGTGGTAGAACCAAGCTGCAGTATTTAATGGTTGTAATACGAATGAGTCGGCTCGACCGGGGTAGGCTCACGCTTTCACAGACTACTATCATGAAAAAGCAGCTGTATGTTTTTTTTTTATAAAACATAGAGAGGGCTAAAGCATTCACTAATTATCAGGTTTAGTTTGTGCTTGCATATACCCTTTTTCTATAAAAAAATACTTTACAAACCCTTTCAGCCACGAACGTTTGAAGCTCTTTTTCCGAGAGCTCGACACCAGTTTGAGGCACAACGAATGCGAGAGGTACTTCGCCTGCCAAATCATGAGGCAACCCCACAACGCCTACGTCGCGAACTCCCTTGTGTTGCAGAAGCACTGCTTCTATCTCCGCTGGAGGAACCTAAAATAAATTATTACATAAAAAAAAACCAGTATTATTGTTGTTTTGAATTTGTTATCATTCAGCTTGACGTGAATCCTGCGAAATATACGTACATTTGTTCGAACGTGTACAATTTTGAAAAAATATAAATCAACATGTATGTATATCGGTGCGTCTATAAAATACCGTTTGGATCGAGAGTGAGTGAGAGGTTGCATCACTCTAGCGGAGCGTCATACCAATGGTGGCGTTTGATAGTATATCGAAAAACCTCCACTCGTTTATGCAGTATAAAGTTCACTGTAGACACCGTGCGTGGGAGATTCCGCATAAGTCATTCTACGAGTGAAGTCATTCTACGAGTGATAAGATCATAGATTATGGTAAGATTGTGTCGTGGTTCTAATTGTTGTCTTGTTGAGACAAGGAGGATGGGTGATGTTGCTGTTGATTTGCATACTTTACTGTCACCATGTAATTATGTCCTTCACGTTAAACCAGTGTGTAATTGTGACGGAGACATAATATTAAGGTATGGTCGAGCTGTAATTGCTCTATACTGAATGTCTAGTGCGTTACGCTGTCTTATTATTGATAATAATTAATTGAGTAAGCAAGAGAGCAAGTTGAACATCCGCACTCACACTTTTACTCTTTTTACAATTAACCTCTCCTGATGTATTTCCGAGATCAGAAATGGGATTTTGTATATTCCGAAAAAAGTTAAACTTGAATTAACGCTCCCTAAGTAAGTGCACTCCACATAGATTTAGCGAATGATTAACACAAGGCATTTTCTATGTGGTAGAGCCATGCTGCAGCTATATAAGTAGTATGGTTGTAGCACAAAAGGGGCGGCTCGACCGGGGAAGGACCACGCTCTCACAGAATACCAGAGTAAAATGGCAGCTTTACACTGCTGTGTTTCGTATGGTGAGTGTAGAGAACCGGAGACCCATTTTACTAGAAAAGAGGCATTCCATCTTAGTCCTCACGGGTGACGACGCATCTGCATTTTGATTCTTTATTGAGGATAAATGTAGATGTCTATGGGTCACAGCAACTACTTACCATCAGGTGGACTGTGTGCTCTTTTGTCACCCTTATCCTATAAAAAAAAAGAGAATATACATTCAAGCATTTTCACAATTTTTTACATATTGTTCTCGTATTAAAGTAGCTGGTTCTTACCTGGTAGCCCTTGTACTTGATTAACTCTTTCAATCGATCCACAATGTACAAATATTTATCCTCATCTTAGTACCCAATATCACCAGTTTTAAATAATCCTTCTTCATCGAAATCTTCACTTCTCTCTTTTCCTATGTAACCTTTCATAACTATTGTGCCCTTAACACATATTTCTCCATTCTGATTTGGCCCCAATGGTTCTCGTGTTTCAACGTCTACAATCTAAAACAAAACACATTAATAACAAAAAGTTGTTGGTACTGTTTTGTGAGTGAGTGGCCGAGTCGGCAAGGGATACCCTAGACGGAAATTTGTCAACCAAATCGGTAATATATTAAAGATAGGTCAAATTTAAAGTATTCTTACCTAACGAGCAAATATGCGTAGGCATATGGATGTGAAAAAAACGAAAATAAGATGTGACGGCATCATAATAAATCAAATTACGTAAGTCTCTGTCTAATATCTGAAGCCTGTTACCCAAGGATAGGCCCTTTGGGTAATAGGCATGAGATATCATATGTATGTATGTATGTAAATTGTTTGGGCTAGCAATATTCTTCTTCCCTATTAGCTCGTAAAAGTCTATTTCTTTACGAGCTGATCAGGATAACTACCTCTCCTGCTGTAGTTAGCATTGCATAAATCGTCACATTTGGCAAAAATAGAAACAGAAAAAGAAACCAAAACAGATTTTTTATTGAATAAAGATTATACATAATACTTATTGTAAGAATCTCTTTAGAAATTTAACTCTATCCTGCAAATAACCAGCAAGAAAAACAGCTTACAATCATATTCATATATGTAACACAAGTAACAATACAAATCAAAGTAGAAATAGCTTAGTAGTGATTACCTAACTCCCAGGATTATTGTCGTCCATAAATTCTTTAATATTATGATAATCCTTTTTATACAAACTTTATTAAATAAAGTTTTTAAACTTTGAGGAGGTCAAATTTAGTATATTTTCTAAGATTTTCTATTAAGTTTAAGTCTCGCTGTAAGTTTCACAGTACGCGGGAAATCCGGGTTCGATCCCCGCCGGCACCAATGAAATTGTTAATTGCAATTTTAAGTGCTGATTTACCGCGTGCTTGGCGGTGAAAGAAAACATCGCGAGGAAACCTGCATGTCTGACAAATAATTAAAATATATATATTTTGAAGACACGTGAAGTTCGTGAACACACAATGGGGCAGTGAGGCGAACCTTTCCTTTCCTGACCCATTTGTGCTACAACTATACTACCTACTAATATAGCTGCAGCATGGCTCAACCACGTATATCTTTTCAAACCTACTGATATCCACCAACCGCATATCTTACACAAATGTTACTCGTTTTTATATTATTACAGTTTTTGTGGATGCTATCAAGAATATAAATTCTAAGAATCCCAAGTGCTGTGCTGATGAGATATGAACGCAAAAGGTTAAAAGTAAATAAGGTTTTGTTTTATTATATTACTTTAGGTACTACAGTAGCTAAAGTGTGCAGTTAAAGAGTATAAGTGAAAAAATAGGAGAATCATTGAAATTTCTTGAGCAGCAGTATTAATAAAGAAAAAAAAGCTGGCCTTCATTAAAATGACAAACTTCTTTGATAAATGTATGTTGTGAATTTAAAGTCCGAAAAAGTGCTTCAACACGATAATAAAATGGACATAAATCAGGAAGTTATAGCAAGAATAATATCTACTGGTGCTGTATATGTCCAGCTTCATATTATTTTTGCCTTTGGACTTATCCCACCTTACCTCTGCAGTTGTATGAAGCACCGCGTAATTAAGTTTGCCAATGGTGTGAACAAACTTAATTATGCAGAGCATCCTATGGTTGAGGGTAAGAACGAAGAGGTGGAGCATGTAAAACTCATTGTAAATATTACGTTGTCTCAAAGAATGCCAATGGTAGCCGTATATGCATACGCATGTTGAGTAAACGTTCATACAGCACAAGCTGCGATGCTTCCCCTAACGCTGCGACAATTGGTGACCAGCACAGGAAAGAAGTCCTGTACTGTGTGTTGAAAAATTAATATTCTGTCACATATTCTCGATCATAAAACAAAGGAATTGAGCCACCAGGTCACATGTCATTCAAAAAATTTTGTGAGTTTAACAGGTATAAGGTCTTTGTCAGGCCACGGACCTATACTTATAAATACTCTAATGATCAGCAGTAAGCAGCAGTCAAGACGGATAATAAAGAAACAGGATCAGCTGGAACATAAAATGTCGTTTTAAAAATATAGAGGCTTTCTATTATTGTTATTTATTTTCTATTATTATTTTTTTTATTACATAAAAATAATAGTAATAGATATCTATTACTATTATTTTTATGTAATAAAGATAACGCTAACACACACACACACACACACACACACACACACACACACACACACACGCGCGCACACACACACACGCACGCACACGCACACGCACACGCGCACGCGCACACACACACACACTCACACTCACACTCACACACACACTCACACTCACACTCACACTCACACTCACACTCACACTCACACTCACACTCACACTCACACTCACACTCACACTCACACACACTCACACACACACACACACACACTCACACACACACACACACACACACACACACACACACACACACACACACCTACTCTAAATCATAGGTAATCTTGCTTGGCATATCTCAATATTTAATGTTATTAGAAAGAGCGGTGCCTCCTGACACAGGTATTTTTTTATACTTACTAGGAGGCTCCAATTACTTTATTGTTTAGTATGCGTTGAGAAAGAAATAAATGGATTTTTTTTTCATTTTATATGTTGTATTACATCTGATATCCAAGCTTTGTTTCATACATTATTAATACATACCTTAACCACTGTATACTTTGTTACTTCTCCTACACTGCCTAGTCTACATTTCTTCCCATCATTGAAGTAATCCATGGTCACGAACGCTGTAGTTTCTGTCATACCATAGCCTTGATACATATCTATTAAATTCTTAAACCTGCATTTTATAACATAACATAACATTTTACGTGGTGAAAACATCTTAGGTTCACAAACCTTTAAGAATAATATTTGGTTGCTAAGAAATATATTTTTGGAAATTATTGTCTATTAGAAATTATTTTTATCATCGTAAGGACGCTTTCCCACGACACGCACCCGCTACGCACACGCCACGCGCGTCAGCACCCGCGTGTAACTCGCTTTGGAGTTTGTTGCATATATTTTGAATCTTATGATAAATCAATAAATCTGAAATTGCATTTATCGACGTTCAGCCGCACCTGCCTCGCACACGCCACGCGCCCGTCTCGTTCCCGCTCCGCGCTGTTCCAGCGCTCACCCCGCACACGCGCTTTTTATACCATTTCAGATTTATTGATTTGTCATGAGACTCAAATTATATGCAACAAATTTCAAAGCGGGTTAGACGCGGGTGCTGACACGCGTGGTGTGCGCGTAGCGGGTGCGTGTCGTCGGAACGCGCCCTCATAAGTATTTGAACGTAACGTTCACGCGAGTTCAGTGTTTTTTCCCCATCATAAAAGTGCCAAACGGGCCTCAAGAAGTTTTCACTTAAAACGAACATAATTATTTGCCAAAATTCTATTCAAATTTAAACAAAGACATTAAATTATAATAATATATGACAATTTATACGTGTTGCTTAATATTAAAAAGTCCCTTGTTGATAAACTGATGAAATAGTAGAATTAGCCGTTATTATTCCAAAAATAATCATACTATGTGGCAATGGACCGCCCATATAGCTCGAAGAACTGACAACAGATGTGGAATAAAGGGTCACAAGCGGCGCCCTCGTACTGACAAGTGCGACGTTGGTCCAATCACCACTAAACGGAATAACGGTGTAGAAACACGCAGGTAATCAGTGGATAAAGGTAGCTTGAGACTAGATATAAATTCAAGCAGTCCACATCCGATCTAGTGTGAAGTTTTGTTACCATCTTTCAAGTATCAGCTCCTTCTACTTGGCTTCATTATATATATATTAAGCTAACGCTACAACCGTCGTTTTATATTGTGTGTATTAATGACGTGTAGTCGGTTATTGAATAAACGTTTCGACGGCTACACGATGTATTGTATACTATGCAAACGTGGATCCGACGTATTCATACTGCAGTCATGGCCCATATCTTTACTATGTTAAAAAATCGTATGATAACTTAAGCTAAACCATCACTGCATTAAGGACTCAATTCTTACATCTCTTTAGCAGCGTTGATAATCTCCTTTCGAAGTACAGCGGCTCCACACAGAATTATTTGAACTGAACTGACATCATAATTCAAAGGTGTTTTTGTGAGCGCAACAGTCACAGTTGGTACCAACAAGAGGTAATTAGCCTGAAAATTCGTTTTAGTAATGTATGCTAATAAAACATCTCACACTACTGTTATTAGTAAAAAATGTAGATTATAAATTAGTTATAAACAACTTGGTGAGAAAGTAAAATTTAAATATATATACATAAACTAGGTAATCGCCCGCGGTGTTACCCGCGTTCAAGTTATAACATTTTTATTGCGAGATCGCATAATAAGGAAAAAACTAAAAGTGAGATCAAGTTGTCACTTGAAAACTTTCTCATATTTCGGAAAGGTGATGATTTTACCATTCCGAATAATATGGAGGCAGATTTTAATTAAATTTTGGGCCTTTCGATTAGTGGAAACCGCTTTAACAATCGTTGTTTTCGCCTACTCCAGTACATTCATCCTAGAGACAATCTATAAGGAGGTCTACGTTTGGCAGTGGATTTTACTGTTACCGTTACAGCCTATTAAAATCCACTGCTGAAAATAAGCCTCATCATAGATCGCCTCATAGACACATAGGCCTGCCCCATAGACTGCTTATTTGCCATAGTTGCCACGCTAGGCAAGCGGGTTGGCAACCGCATCTTTTTATTTTTAGTCGACGAGATGGTATGAGGTAGTGGATATCCTTACACCGCCACTAGTGAGTGTTATCTTTCAAAATCCAGTGC